ATAGTGTTTGTATGTATACAGATAATATTTGTTTTAATGGATGCATAATTACTTAGATTTTGACCGGCTGCTTTTACTGGGTATTATTACATTCTTTGTCTAGATTTTAATGAAAATTGATGGGGTAAAAATATGGCTCGAGTAGGAATGAATGAAACAGTGGTGTGAGCAGTAACAGAGGACTACAAACAAGCTGAATATAATAATTACCCTTGTTTATAAAATGGACGCGGAAGATATCACCTGGCATGATTATTATATATATCAGATTAATACCAAGTGTTATAAGACTCCAGTATGATAACTTCTCCCACGATAACAGTTCATAAAGTGTATAAGATAATGACGTAAGTTTTTCTTTAGTCGTATTTGGGTATGAGGAGGAAGGATCAGAAGAGGTATTTAACAGTTAATACGTTCGATATTAACTGAATTCACTTAAATGAACTCACAGAAATCATGTAATTATCTCCTTTTCTTTTTCTTTATGGACGTTTTAGGTGATAATGAGGCACAAAAGACTTCACATTTCATTTAATTCTTCTGTCTGATGTGGGTGATGGTGGCGGGGCTGTCAGGGGAAGGATCGTGGCTGTTCCTCTCGTGGTAATCTAATTCACTTATTTCGGTATAATATCCTGCGGCTTCTGACCATTACGAGTGCTAAGTAAGAGAGATGACCAATGCTGGTTTATGATGACAACAATAACTAAGGTTCCTCCTCCTCTCCTCTCTCAAGCTATCTCTATACTACCCACTAGTTCCCTCTGCTTTTTTCCCACCTTTAATTATCGCTTATTAATTCCTATTGCCACCTCTTACTGATCAAGAATACAATATTTACTCCTCATGTGGTACTTATTATTATTATTATTATTATTATTATTATTATTATTATTATTATTATTATTATTATTATTATTATTATTATTATTATTATTATTATTATTATTTACAACTACATTATTGTGACGTGTTAATGTAAACCCGTAATACGTTAATGGTTCAGTCAAGCAATACATTAATTCATACTTAAATCCGCTGTAGTAAATGGTCCTTTGATATTTTATGTTTCTGGTCCTGGCTTTGTTCCTAATCTCTCTCTCTCTCACTCTTTTATTTATTTATTTTTTTATCCGTTACTTTCCCTCACTACTTTTCTTTCTTTCTTTCTTTCTTTCTTTCTTTCTTTCATTAGACAAACGGGTAAGGTCTTGGACAATAAAATCAAACATTGTTATTCGTACTGGACAGGAATTTAATGCTCTGATAGTTCATATAATGTAATTCGTTCATCCCAGTGATTGAAATATAATGTTGTTAAAATAGTTTCATGGAAATCAATTGATGGTGGTAGCATTATTAAAATCATTATTAATCGTTGTGTTGATAATAATGTTAAAGTTGGTGGTTTATGTAAATTATGTAAATATAAGGCCACCTTTATTTTGTTAATAATAGTTATTCACAAAATATAGGTGACCTTATATTTATACTCGATGCTGCATGTTAAGCCTGTGTGACTGTGTGTGACTATTGCTTGTTTGTGGTAACGTCTCCTGGTGCCTGTGTTAAGGCTTTACTCTTGTATACACACACCCCAAAAAGTATCTTTACGGAGGTGTCAGATGAATTTCAAAATGAACATTGTGGCTCCTTGTCTAGGTGTTACTTGGATATTATATGAGTCAGGCGTCCTGTGTGATGCTCACTAGATACTCACACACCACTTGTCCACCTCTGTAAGCTTCCCTGGGCTGGTTCCCTTTGCTTCTGTATTATATATCAAGTTGCTCCTCATGTCTTAGGATTCCATTATGTTTCTGCTTGTGTTTATTAATCCTCTCAGACTTTGTTTCTCTCCTGGAGCCAAACTTTAAGTTCCGTTATTGACCATAATCCCTGCATTCCCTTGGCTCTCCTTCCCTCATTAATATCTCCACCATTATCTCCTCATCCCCTATTATATGGACAGAGTATTTTCTTTTATTTTATTATAGAAGTTTCTGTTAGCTGTATCGTTGTAATATGGATAAAGTTCTTATATTGTTCTGTAAGCTTTTGTCGCCTTTATCGTAGTTTTAGAGTTTGTCTTTCTCCTTTTGTTTTCCTATCAGTATATTCTCAGCAATCCTGTAGTACCATATATTAAGGGCCTCTAGCCTCCTCCTCTCTGCTCAAGATGTTAACGTTTTTACCCACACAATAAAACTGTTCATATATCGTAATTGTGTTTGTGTTTTCAAATTAAATTAACGTTCCTTTTTAAAATATCCTTAATTATTATTTAATGCTGTTTTTACTTTATTTATTTTTGCTTTTATTCTCTTTCCCATTTACCATCGTAATTTATGTTACTTGACAAATACACAAACATACTCCAGCTGTTTACTTTCCCTGTTGTTCGGGAATAAACTAAAACGTTCTGTCTTTCGATTATAAAGTATAAAAGCCTTTACATTGAAACCCACATTCAGGATGTCAGGGAAGGATCGTGGCTGCTCCTTTCCCCTCATGGCGGTAAACCAGTTCATGGTGGTGGGTGAGAGGCTGCTGTGTGAAAGATCAGGCTGTTCTTCCCCTGGGCGGTGTAAACCAGTTCATGGTGGCGGGTGAGAGGCTATCAGGGAAGGATCGCTGTTCTTCCTGGCGGTAAAACTAGTTCCGCGGGGGCGGCGGAGAGCCGCCAGGGGAAGCGATCGTGGCTGTTCCTTCCCCATGGTAAATTAGTTCATGGTGGCGGGGTGAGGCTGTCAGGGGAAAGATCGTAGCTGTTCCTTCCCCTCATGGTAAACTAATAGTTTGGCGGTGGCGGGGCGGAGAGGCCATCAGGAAGTGATCGGCTGTTCCCTTCCCCCGCGGTAAACCAGTTCATGGGGCGGGCGGAGAGGCCGTCAGGAAGGATCGTGGCTGTTCCTTCCCCTGGCGTAAACTAGTCTGGCGGTGGCGGGGGTGTAGAGGCTGTCAGAAGGATCGTAACCGTTCCTTTCCCTGGCGGTAAACCAGTCCATGGGGGCGGGGCGGAGAGGCCGTCAGAAAGCGAGCGTGGCTGTTCTTCCCTGGCGGTAAACCAGTTCATGCAGGCGTGGAGAGGCGTCAGGGGAAGGATCGTAATCACCCTTTCCCTCGCGGTAAACCAGTCTGGCGGGGGCGGGGCGGAGAGCGTCAGGGGAAAGACGTAGCTGTTCCTTCCCTGGGCGGTAAACTAGTCTGCGTGGAGGGCGGAGAGGCTATCAGGGGAAGCGAGTCGCTGTTCTTCCCCGCGGTAAACTAGTTCGGCGGGGGCGGGCGGAGAAGCGGTCAGGAAGGATCGGCTGATCCTTCCCCATGGTAAACTAGTCTGGCGGTGGCGGGGTGGAGAGGCTGTCAGGGGGAAAAGATCGTAGCTGTTCTTCCCCTTCGCTGGTAAAACTAGTTCGGCGGTGGCGGGCGGGAGAGGTCATCGAAGGATCGTGGCTGTTCCTTCCCCGCGGTAACCAGTTCATAAAGCGGGCGAGAGGCTGTCAGGGGAAGCGATCGTGGCTGTTCCTTCCCTGGGCGGTAAAACCAGTTCATGCAGGGGTAAGAGGCCGTCAGGAAAGATCGTAGCGTTCCTTCCCCGCGGTAAACCGGTTCCGCGGTGGCGGGGCGGAGGCTATCAGGGGAAGGATCGGGGCTGTTCCTTCACAGTAAATCCAGCCCTGGCGGGGGCGGGCGAGAGGCCGTCAGAAGCGATCGTGGCTGTTCTTCCTCATGGTAAACCAGTTCATGGTGGCGGGGTGTAGAGGCCGGTCAGGGGCGATCGTAACTGTTCTTCTCCTCATGGTAACCGTCCATGGGGCGGGCGGAGAGGCTGTCAGGGGAAAGGAGCGGTTGTCTTTCCCTCATGGTGTAACCAGTTCAAGTGTGCGGGGTGGAGAGGCTGCTCAGGGAAGCGGATCGTAACCACCCT